ATGTAGATAAGCATGATATTTTATATATAACTTATTTAGGCTAATGTGTCTAATAAAAGACGGTAACACATAAGTGATTAAATTATTTATGTAATATGCACTTGAGAAAATCCATAATAGTCAAAAGTATTATCTATTTATAACGCTTCATTCGTGTGTTCGAATACTTAATCAAAATAGGATATAGTTAAAAATGTCTAAATAAAATTTATTGATACGTTAAAAAAAGTATCAAAGGTGGTAAGATTGATTGGGCAGTTGCAACTGAAGTAATTTAAGCAAAACCTTATAAAACCCTAGTGACTCCCATGAATCTAAGAGTAAACATGAGGGATTCCATTATTTTAACCAAGAGACAATTGGAGGCAAATTTAAAAAGTCAAAACTTTGAAACAGTAGCTTTTTTCAATCAATCTAGCACTAAATCAGGAACAAGGTCAAACTTCTGATGTAACTAGCCAATGGTTTTTTTTTTCTCCGTTTTCTATTTATATGTTACTATTTTAAATTTTACGTTTTAAAATTATCATTGTATCGTTATTTAGTGATTTTTTATGTCAAATTTATAACTAATGAACATAAATTTAATTTATTATGATTAATTAAATTGCAATGCAAATTGGAAAAGTATTACTAAGAAACATCTCTTTTTAATAAGGACATATAAGTAGAAACGGAAGGAATATTAAACCTAAATACATGTTCAATTAGACTTATTTCTTAACAAGAAACTACTTGAAACGTCGTAAAAAGACGAAAAAATGCATGTCCAACGTAGATAAATGATAGTAGAAGTATAAGTTTGATTTTTAAAATAAAGCAAAACATTTCCTATTAATTTTCTTTAAACTCAAGAACTCACTGAAATCAGTTTTACGAAATATTCAAAACAGAATGATGGGCAAAAAAGAAAGATCTTGTTGGGTCAGGATAATATTATAGTTAAAAGACTGTCTTCACTAATCATGATTACCCCTAAAAACACAAACTATAGAAACAAAGATACACATGTAGGTGTCATGATTATTTCTAAGTACTGAATCTCTTCGTTTACTTTTATTTGTCGATTTTAAATTTTACATGTTTAGCATTAGAATTTGAATTAAAAAAACAAGTCATTGATGCTGAGGTAAAACATGCAAAGGCAAATATATGTATTTTATTAATATGTTAAAAGTAATATTCCCTCCGTTTAAAAAAGAATGATCCTATTTCCTTTTTAGTATGTCTCAAAAAAGAGTGACCCTTTTCTTTTTTTTTTGACAATACTTTAATTTTAACTTTCCACGTAACATGTTTAAGACCACAAGATTAAAGGACATTTTGGTACATTTGACATAGAACCACAAGATTAAAAAATCTCCGTTCCAAGTCAAACTATGTCATTCTTTTTGAAACGGAGAAAGTAATACTTTTAAAATATTGGACAAATAAAAGTGAACGAAAAGTAGAAGTTGGAAACATAGGTTTCTTGATGGAATGCACAATTTCCAAATGTGGTGAGAAAAGCTTTATCCTTAAAAAGGAGGTTTCTTCAATGGGAACACAATTTCCAAATGTGATGAGTACTACTTTTTCCATTTTTGGGTTCTTGATAAAACTGTGTCTTGTAGGGTAATCATAATAAGTAGATTGATAGAAACAAGACAATGTATGACTGACTTAGATTTTGCAAACCCCACTTAACATAACCAAAGAAAAGCCAAGACAGTTGAAAAAAAGAGAATATTATTACTCATTCAAAAGGGAAAGTTAATGGTCCTTTATCTTTTTCAAAATCCATCAAAGATCTCACTACTCATACATTTCATTGCTTTTGGTACAATTAGACTGGATTGGACTAAAATTAGGTCTCTAACAAGAAAAGATAAACATAGTTTTTTATACATTGATAATACTTGTTGGATACTCCCTCCGTCCCTTTTTAATTGTCCACTTTTGAATTGACACACTTATTAAGAAAATAATTAATAACATAGTCAGTTTATAATTTTATCCCTATTAATTATGAAGTGGATAAAAAGTCCTAGATTTTTCAAAGTAATTAGTCATTTAATTGAGGTATAATAGATAAAAAAAAATTGTCCTTTCTTAATTTGTCAAAATAGACAAGTAATTATGGACAACTATTAAAAGAAAATTGGACAAGTAAAAAGAAATGAAGGAAGTATTTTATAATATATAGAGATTTAAATTGAACAGATATATCTGCTCATGAAAGAGCATGATTGTTATACAATCTCGTTTATTCATGAAATAACATGATTTTTATGAAAAGTCATTTGATCATGAAAGAATATGACTCTTATGAAGTTATCTCTTAAGTTTAGTAAATATAAAAACTCTTGTAAATAGCCTAAGAAAAATCTATATGTATAAACAAAAGGGTTTATTATAGCCCGGAGGTGTTCTTTTTTGTATTTTTTTCAACATATCTCTTTAAAAAAAATAATTTTATACGCCTTATAGTCATCTTCTTCTTCAATCATATTTCCTATTACTTTTCTAATAATACTAGTTCCAATGATCCAATCCTAAGTCAGTCTTTACTCGTTAATATTCGACTCAATACATATCACCTTAACAATTAGACATCATGAAAATGTTGATAAATGAATAGTAGTTAATAACAAAGAATAAAGACATAAAATGATAATTAGTTGTCTCTTATTTTTTTAAAATTAATAGAAATAAAATATATTTAACATACTTGGCAAGTAAAAATGAATGGAGAGTATAAATTATTTTCACACAATCTGGTTATTAAATTGAAAGATAGTTATAAATATTTTTTCTTTTTTTAAATTCATATAAAATCAAACTAATTCATATGAATCAAACGGAAAGAGTATACTATTGGATCGAAAATGAAAACTTGACATTGGGATGTGAAATAAAACCCTAGATCGAACAATTTGTTACTGATACGACTAGCTATACATACCACTTGTTAGAACTATAATTAATAGGATTAAAAATATGCTTTATTATTTGTGTGATGTTAATTATTGTGATGTTTAAACAAGTAGAAAAGACCAGGTGACACTTGAAATTTTAGACAAATCGGGTAAAAATGTTAAGTAACAACACAAAAAAATAGTTGCTGCCAACTTTCAATCTTGACTATAGTCTTTTGCACTCAGCCTTTTCTTTTCTTCTATTTTGACGATGTTGATTAATGAAATAAATAAAATTAATACATTTTCTTATTATTAATAGGAAATTAGCATTTCTTTTCTAAGATTGGTGGAAACAATTCATGTATTAAGGATAATAATAATAATAATTCTTTAAATTTTGTTTTCTCTACTCCAAAGTGATAATCTTGTAAAGCTTTTTGTATATTTTATTTTATAGCATGGAGAACTTTCTTCGTTAAATTTTACTTGCCCATTATAATAAAAATATATTTTGTTGTGTTTTGTTTTATAGTATGGAGAACTTTCTTCGTTAAATTTTTATATTTTATGTGTATTTATTTTATTCTATATGTAAATCGCCTTCTTCAGATTAAAAATCAATTAATATTGATATCGTAAAAAACACTCGTAGCAATTGTCATTTGTTAAGAAAAAATACCAAGTAAAGTTCAAACTTAGCACAAGTAAAAATAAATAAATTAAGTACTTATTTAGCAAAGGTCACGGTCAAAGACTATAACTTAAGTAGCAGCTCTTCTTGTAGTTTAGCTTTTCTTCTTTTATTGGTATCTACCTCAAAATATTTAATATCTTCGTCGTGAGTCATACCTAATCTTTCGTTTTGTTCGCTTTTATTTGTTCATTGTATAAAAAATAAATATTTTACCTTTACTTTTTACTCGTCTAGAGAAGAAAATAAAATTCCTTAATAAGGAAGATAAATTCACAAATAAATAGAAACAGTTTTCCTCTATGCAGCCTCCCAAAATTATTTGAAAATACTAACTTTTGAAAGTTGGTAAATTTAAAAAAAAAAAAATTAATTATGGTAAGTTTTAACTGATCATGATTTCATCAAACTTCAATTTAAGGTTGATTTTTAATCGATATTTTTCAAAAAATTAACCTTTTGGATTTAGTTTTTGACATTCTTTTAGCGTCATTTGATAGAATATATTGGAAAATCTAACACTTATATTAGTCCTGGTATTACTTAAATCTTTTATTTAGCAGGGTGTATAAATAAATGCATAACAAACCATGATATTATCCAATATCCATATATGGGCTATTAATACATGGGATAACTACCCTTAATATACCAAACCAAACGGAGGATAAGAAATAATTCCTCGTTTCTTTTGACATGTTATTTATTTTTAAAATATTTTTAGTTATTACTTTTGACATATTAATAAAAAATAATTATTTTTTTTTATGTTTTATCTTTAACGTTAAATACTTATTCTCCAAATCATTTTCCAAACCCTAATACTCCCTCTAAACAACTATAACAATATTTATCCACTTTATGAAATCAATAGATAATTTTACACTTACTACTTAATTTTACCCTTATCATTTACTATTTTAGTCATTTTCCCATTATATCAACACAAAGTATTTATTATATTCAAGAGGTGATATAAGAAAATTACATTTTTTAATATAGTTTCTAAAGAAATATACAAAGGTCAATAGCGGATGAGTATTAAACATAATTTTTTTCTCAATAGGCATGTCAAATGAAACCATAACGAGTGAAATGAATAAAGAAAATAGCTAACCTTACTAATAAATCGTATTCTTATACACTCTACTCACTAAAAGCAAACCTAGAACTCCATAGTTAATCAATCATAATAACTTGTCTCTTTATTTGTGTGTGTGTTGTCTGTTGAACTACAGTCTGTAGATTGTCCTTCCTTCCTCGGCCTTGACAAGAAAACACTGAAATGATACATGTATCCATCACTCCACCAACCAAAAAATATATGAAGAAACAAATGCTGCCAAAATTCCTATATAAACTCCTAAAACAAACCAAGAATCCAAAAGACAAACAGAGAAGCCAAAAAAGAGACTTTCCCTTCTAGTTTTCTGCCAAACATTCATATCTCTTTCCTCATTAGTGAAAAACTCCACCTCCTTAACTCACATGTCCACTGAATTTGAGAAACATAAAAGAGTAAAAATAACCTTAACTTTCCTTTTTACAACTCTCCTAGCTTCAAACTCAAAATCCCTTTTAGTATTATCTCCAATTATACTCTAAAAATGGAAGCTTTTCATCATCCCCCTATTAGCTTTCACTTTCCCTATGCTTTTCCTATCCCAACACCAACAACCAATTTTCTTGGAACTCCAAATTCATCATCAGTTAATGGAATGATCATCAACACTTGGATGGATAGTAGAATTTGGAGTAGACTTCCACATAGGCTTATTGATAGAATCATTGCTTTTCTACCACCACCTGCTTTCTTTAGAGCTAGAGTTGTGTGTAAGAGATTCTATGGACTTATTTACTCTACACATTTTCTTGAATTGTACTTGCAAGTTTCACCTAAGAGGAACTGGTTCATTTTCTTTAAACAAAAAGTACCAAGAAACAACATTTACAAGAACGTGATGAATAGTAGTAACTCAGGAGTTTGTTCTGTTGAAGGTTACTTGTTTGATCCTGATAATCTTTGTTGGTATAGGCTTTCTTTTGCTTTAATCCCACAAGGGTTTTCTCCTGTTTCATCTTCTGGTGGATTAATTTGCTTTGTTTCTGATGAATCTGGATCAAAAAACATTCTTTTATGTAATCCACTTGTAGGATCCATAATTCCCCTGCCTCCAACTTTAAGGCCTAGGCTTTTTCCTTCTATTGGTTTAACTATAACCAACACATCTATTGATATAGCTGTAGCTGGAGATGACTTGATATCACCTTATGCTGTTAAAAACTTAACTACAGAGTCATTTCATATTGATGGTAATGGATTTTACTCAATATGGGGTACAACTTCTACACTTCCAAGATTATGCAGTTTTGAATCAGGCAAAATGGTGCATGTACAGGGGAGATTTTATTGCATGAATTTTAGTCCTTTTAGTGTGCTTTCTTATGATATAGGGACTAATAACTGGTGCAAGATTCAAGCCCCGATGCGACGATTCCTACGTTCACCGAGCCTTGTTGAAGGGAATGGTAAGGTTGTTTTAGTTGCAGCAGTTGAAAAGAGTAAACTGAATGTGCCAAGAAGTTTGAGGCTTTGGGCATTGCAAGATTGTGGTACAATGTGGTTGGAAATAGAAAGAATGCCACAACAATTGTATGTGCAGTTTGCTGAAGTGGAGAATGGACAAGGGTTTAGTTGTGTTGGACATGGTGAATATGTGGTGATAATGATTAAGAATAATTCAGATAAGGCATTGTTGTTTGATTTCTGTAAGAAGAGATGGATTTGGATACCTCCTTGTCCATTTTTGGGAAATAATTTAGACTATGGTGGTGTTGGTAGTAGTAATAATTATTGTGGAGAATTTGGAGTTGGAGGGGGAGAGTTGCATGGATTTGGTTATGACCCTAGACTTGCTGCACCTATTGGTGCACTTCTTGATCAGTTGACATTGCCCTTTCAGTCATTCAACTGATAGTTAAACTGTTTACAAGTGGGGTATCAGTAGTACTAGTACTATGAATAGTGTTTCATTTGGACCTTAATTAATTGTATTTTTAGTGTTTAATTATCTAGTGTTTTTATATTACCAAGTCTTTAGTAAGAAGAAAGTTTGTACTCTACTATTGTTGGTTGACTTATTAATATGAGTTTTACATTGATTTGTGCTTATATATAGTTTAGTTAGGTATCTTTTTTTACTTCCTTTTGAAAATACCAAAGTAGAAAACCCTAATCATTAAAACAACAAGAATATCGTTATGTTGTCAATTTTACCGATGATTTTATTAGCATATCATAGAGTATTCGACATATTTACAGTACACAACCATCTTACAAATCTAATTTTCTAACTTTTTTTTGTAAATTTTAACCAAAGTTTACGATGGATAATCGATATATAATTAGTTTATTATACAAGCTAAAATTGTTAGGATCCCTCGTTTTGATTTGATTCTAAGTCATTTTTTTGCCACGTGGAATATAATAACCTCATTTGCTATAAGAAAGTTAATTTCAAAGTTATAAATGAAAATTAGCTTCTGGTTGATTAGTTGGTTTTTCTCTTGAAATAAGTGAAAAGTATGAAAAAAGAAAAAGTAAAACTTGTTCATCTCATAATTTTTAAGAGTGAGAACAAAATCAACTACATGCAATTATTGGATGTTAATGTTAAATTCTACATAATTTCTACCATTCTAAAACCCTTCTTATAAACTTCCACTAGGTATAGTATTGTTATATATGTATTGAAAAAAAAAACTTTATTAATTACTTTTGCATTTCACAAAAACAAATGAATTTGTGAACAAAACAAGTTTTTCGAAGGTTTCTTATTCTGAAATTTAAAATTTTCTGTTGATAAATGGTAACTTGTAACGTAACTCAAGTTGTAAGCTAAACAAAAGGCATTATACATAAACAGACACTCAAACTAAATCTCGTGTAGCAAGTACACACTCCAACATTGAGAGTGAACATAACTCGAGTTGTGATCAAAGGGGTACATCAAAAGAACGACCTCTATAAGTGCCAAAAAGAAATAGATCGATCAATGAATTACATCTCCATTCCCAACTAGTTGCGATTAGTTATGTATGAATTGTTATACGTAGTCTGCCCTACATGGCACGAAAATTTTTTTAGGATAAAGGAAAACAAAATTGATAGCTAACTAGTACAGTATAATATATTTTGCTTAGAGCTTACACTGGACAAACTGGCTTATGCTACACTGTTCTTGTTCCTTGTACAAGAATCATCAGACAGAAGATGCTGCTTGATTGGATTGCTTCCTTTTCTTGTTCTTCCTCCGATGAGTTTTCCCTTTCTTCTTTGAAGGCGCTTTAGATGGCTTTTGTTTTATGCTGGCTTCTTCATCAGAGGGGGCGTCACTCAAGGAACCCTCCTCATCATCAGAACTGAGAATAAAATCCTCTACAATGTCTTCGTCAAACGCAGTTTCATCTTGCTGATCCTTCCTTCTCTTCTTTTTCTGTTGTTTCTCCTCTGTAGACTCCTCATCCCTGCAAAACATTATACCAGACAAATACATTCATATACACCAACAAAATAAAGATAGCTTGTTGATCCCTTCCTGTCAGGTCTCAAGGGTTCTTTTCCTCTCGAGGAGAGAGTTATAGGTGGTGGGAATAGGTAAGTGGTGAAGAAGAATGTGAACGTACTTAGGAGTGCCTGCTGGTAGCCAAGAAGAACTGAAGACAGCATCTCCTTTGCTATCTTCAACATCATCATCTTCATCGCTTTCAGTTATCTTACTCCCGAAGGCAGATGAATCTTGGCCAACGAGTATACTGCAGATAGACAAGTTCATTACTTTATGATTAACAGAAAGATGTCTCCAGATAAAAATCTTAAGAAAAATAGAGTGTTGTGAAACCTGGATTCCTTTAATGAATCATTTCTCTGTTGTGCTCTCTGTCGGAGACTAGCAACATATTTTGATAGAGGACTCACCCCTGCATTCTTATCATCCTAAGGATAAACATGAAGGTCAGAATTGTTTCAAGGGAGCCAAATCATGAAAAAATGATCCCGTGGATTAATCCTAGACACACAAATCTCTATAACACCCCAACCTATTCGTGTTCGTCAGAAGGATGCTTTGATAAGTGGACAAAGCTTTCAATGTGTTCATTACTAACAAGAGAAGATACCAGGTATAGGTTGGTTGAAAAATGAAAGGTGATTGAATGAAATTTTACTGGTAATGAGAAAGATAAACATCAAGATGTTCAAACCTCAAGAAAAGATGCTGCCGCTGGGTCATTAGGCAGAAATGAAACTGTCATGCGCTTCTTATTTGTGTACTCCGAATTGGCTTCAATCTGTAGATTTACCAAGTCAACTTCAGGAACTTATAACAAAGGCTTCATTTCAGAAGAAACAATTGGTGCCAGCTAACAAATAGCCCATAATAGAATCTAAATGCAACTATGCAAAGTTAGATATCCCAGAATCGATACTGCAGAAGATCTTTTGAACTCAGAAAACTATGCAAAGTTATTAGTGCAGACATGTGACTTGAGAAAATAATCCACTCATATCAGCAAATAGAATCAAGTACCCAACAAACATACCTCGCGAATAATTTGCTTTATTTCGCGACGGAATCTATCAACATTGGTGGACTTGCAGAAGTTGCGTAACCTAACAACAGGGACAGAAGAGAGCTCAAAGAAACCAACTGAATAGCTCCATTGAGCAAGATGCTCAGCAAGTTCCTCAACCACAGAAAACACACATGCTTCCTGGAATGCTCTCGTTTTCAAAGTAAGCTTGCTAACCTGATACATCAAATATAGATTCAGACAGCTAGACAAGTTCTTGTAAAGCAGTACACTATTAAACTAAAGTAAGTAGAGAGGCATTCTAGAAGTACCCTTAAAACAGTACGGAAATCTATGGCTTTTCCAACTCCCCCTGTTGGAGGCCTACGCAATTCTTTTATTTCCAACATGTCTAAGAGGAGTGGGGAAACAGGAACAAAAGAATTGGTGGATGCAGCAATTCTGTTGAGCATTTTGATGCATCGCAATCTAAGGGGAAAATAGCGAGCAGTTGGAACCAAACGAGCTGCTCCAGAAATTATTTGCGTCAGCGGATAAGCCAGGGGCCTAAACTCAGGTTCTGAACTGTATGCACAGATAGCTGCAGTCCAAAGCTCAAGACAGTGTATATACTTCCACTGGTAAACCTTCAGAAATGATTCCTGAGAAGGATTGAAAACAAAGAAACTGTGATTGGATCCCCTAAAAGGCAAATATAACTACGAAAAGATATACAACATGTGCATAATACTGAAGCAACATAACAGACTGTAATTTCATGATCAACTTGACACTCTAAGCTACTTTGTCTCTTGAAAATTACAAATGAAGGCTAAAATGCATTTTCTCAACTCTTCAAAGCAGAATATTCTACCAGAACTTAGTTGACTAAAAGAGGGAAAGTTAAAAAGATCACATTTTGGTAACCATAATCCAAAACAAATAAAAAGGTGACAAGTTAAGAGTCAAAGTACCTTGCCCTTGGTATTGTGTGCTTCCTTGGATGATTGGTTAGCCTTTTTAGACGATTTCTAGGAAAGATTAGACAAAGGGATAACAATAATTAGCGGCCACTAAAAGGCAAGGATAACTTTCAGTAGGATAAGATGCTACCAGTAATGTAAAATGCTGAAGCCACTTGATACTCTTTGAACATCTTTTCAAACGTGAAAATATGAATTAAGCTAACATGTATGTTGGAACTATTAAGCCAAGTATTCTTAATCTAAAGTTATTTAAAAAAAAAAGTGCTACACAAGATACCTTTTTAAGTTTTACTCCTAAAAGATTTATAGAATAAGCTTATATCAATGGTTGGTAACAAATAGTCAGAAAGAAGACAAGTTATCAGAAACAAAATAACAAACCTTGGTCTTAGTACTACTATGCGCATCCCGTAAAATCATTGCCAACTGCCGAATGAAAACAAAGGCATGCTGGTACGCATTGGGAAGATCCACCCTAAGGAGTTCAACGAAACAATTACCAAGAAATTGAATATGCTGCAGCTTTGACGCATTCATGAATTGGCAGTTCAATAAATAAGCTTTATACATCCCTCTAATGCACTCATCAATGCAATCAGAGCCAAGCTGTATACACAGATCCCTTAGAAACAAAAAAGAGACAACTGGTAGTGCACCTCCGCCTGTACCCCAGAAATGAAGAAGAACCTGAAAAGTCAAATTATGCTTAAGCTTGATTCTTTTAGACAGTGTGAAGAATACCTCATGCAGAGAACAAAAGACCCATGTGACACGTGTATTCTGAAAAACAGAGAAGTCTAAACCGAGAGTGCTTCGCGAATATTTTTAAACTTAATTCTTATGGATCATAATTCAATGAATTTACTTAGTTTGTGATAGTAGGAAATAAGCAGTGTGCATAGTTTGAAGTGATCAAAGGCCAAACACTTAAAAGACCCCAATGACAAATTGAAGATAATTAGCTTTTGATTATAGCTGAAGCCTCAAAACAGCAAATTGCCTAACCAACTCACCACTGCCCAAAGGAGAGGGGGAATGGATGAAACATGCAAATCTCTTGCAAATAAAGTTATATTCTAGCAGAAGAAAACTGTCATTCTAGATTAATCATTCTTTGTACAAGAAAAGAGTTATGTGAATAGTAAGTATTAGATCAGTCAATCCCATACCTTTATATATTTCCTCAAAAGAACTGGAAAAGCAGCCAAAAATACAGATGAAAATCTGAGTCTTCGTAATGTAAATGATATCATTTCTGTATCTGTCATCTGATTTAGAACATGTAGCGCATTCCCAAGATATGATTTGACCAAGTGGTTGTTGCTCTTCCATCGTTTAGTTTTAGACATATCCTTTATCATCTCCTTCTTCCCACCAGAAGTTGGTAATTTCAAAAGGCCACGAAGAATTCCATCCATTTCTTTTAGAACAAATAACATTATCTTGTTGAACACAGTGCTAGACATAGTACTCCACTTTGACTTAGCATCTTCACCAGTATCATCGCCATAATGACAAGCTGTGCGGAAAGCTCTCATGAGAGACCTAATAGCCCCCGAACTCCTGTTTTCATGAATTGAACTACACCAAGCATCCACCATTGCAGTAGTGATGA